TATATATATATATATAAGTAAGTTTGATATGAGAACATTAAAATTTACTTAAACCTAGAGACAAAAAAAATAGATTTCTATCATCTTTAATTGCATTCATAAAACTGAAAAAAGTCAGTTCCCAAAAGTTCAATCTGAACAAATAAACATAATCGATAACTTCATCCTCGTATATATAAAATAAAATAATAACTAAAATAATTATAATACAATAATTTTATTAATACAAAAAATTATTTGTAAAAATATTTTTTTTAATTTTGCAAGTCTACTTTCTTAATATTATAAGAATCTCTTTTGTCTTCATATTACAAAGACACACAAACTACAATAGCCAAAATTCGCGACGGGTAATTTCCATCCCTTTTATGCTTCATTTATTTATTGCCAAAATAGTACTATCTGTACTTTGTCCTATCACATTCTTAATATAACCATCCATAAAGGAAAATGGTCTTGCAGTATGAAGTGAGAGAGGAAAAAAAAATGTCTAAAGTCACAATGCAACGTCGATATAGCCAACTGTCATTCTCCCTCTCGTATTGGGCTTTATATAACTGTTGTCAAAATAGCTGCCTTATACAAGTATTTCGTCTTGTTATATTCTCGTGTGCCTGCGATTCCACACAACTGAGATTACCTTCCTTATTCGCGTACAAGATTGCAAGCCGTATCGCGAAGTAGCGGAAGGATAATTGGAACAATGGCGGGAGAAAGCACAGCGCGAAAACTTCGAGGAACGAATCATAAATTCCGAACCGTTGCTGATGGATCCAACTGCAGTACGCAATGCAGGCTCGAGTATCGACTTGTTTTACTGGCAAACGCCAGTGGAAAAAATTAAACGCGCTTTCGGGAAACCTTGTCGGCAGCGCAACGTTTTCAGGGCCCGGCAAATATATAAACGTAATCGTACGAAAAGGATTTTCCAAGTGGTGCAATGGAGAACTGCATTATTGGCAAGCTTGGTTAAGACCCGGATTTGGACTCGTAAGCGTTTTCGAATCCGGCAAGCAAGCACGGCCGGATCCTCGAAGGACGATAATTTTCCATCACGCTAAACGGAAAACTGGAGATCCGACTGTGTTGAATTTATCGCCGGATTGTCTCACAGTGAGAGCGAGAACGAGAGCGAAAACGAAGGAAGAGAGAGAGAGAGAGAGAGAGAGAGAGAGAGAGAGAGAGAGAGGAGCTGAGAAGAATCCGAAGGATTTAGGATTATCGGATCACAATTATTATTGACGATGTCACATCAGTTATCTCTAGGTAACCCGATTTATATACACATCTCTTTAAAACAGCATCATTCGTGTCTTTTCGATCGAAGTACATTAAAAATCGTGAAAGCGTGAATACGAACGTCGCGTCCGAAATTCTGCGGTATTTTTCGGGATACTTGGACGCAGTGCGGAGAGGGCGAGAGAATTATCGGTATCCCCCTTCCTACCCTGCTTATATCACCCGGCTCTTCTTCCCCCGCTGCAATCCACTTTCATCTCCGTCGCTATTATCCGGGCGAGAATCTCAAAAGAGACTGTTCAGATTTCAGATCTCGCCGGCGATCTCGGCGACGATCTCTTTCCCTCTGCGCACAATGAGACGAGGACACTCCCTTCGTTAGTACAAACTACATATAGGTGACTCGTGCCCGCCGAGAAGGACGGATTCTTTCTTTGTCCTCGAGAAGCGCACAGCGCTCATTCCACGCATCTTCTTGGCCATCGGTGAAAAATTGCACTTTGAAAATTCGTTTGCCTCGCGCTCTCGCTCATTTTCATTCTTTTTTCTTTCTCTTCATTTTATCCCAAGACTTTGAGACCCAAGTCTCTCGAAAGCGTCCTTCGCACGCGCTTCTTCGCGACTTTATATTCTCCCACTTGCGACTTTCGCAGTCGCGGGAATTCGCGAATTAATCGCCTGTAGCAAAACTATCGCAGAAGAATTTCAGGCAATTTTAAACCGGCATTCCCCTGTCTGGACCTCAGGAATCGCTCGTTGATTGAAGATGGTACCCATCGTCGTTTTTCTCGTACGAAACTCGATGGACCTTTAATCGGATGGTCACGGCGTAAGGGATTACGGACAAGGTCGTCACATGATACACGACCTTTGGCACGATATTAGGCAACCGAACTGCGTGTAATCGAGCGATCGAGCTCAGGTTGCGGCTGCTGGCTGCTACATCATGCTTGCTTCACGTGCACCTAATAGCTATGCTCGGCTTTAATACATACGATTGAATATGCGAATTAGCTCGCCTTGACGCCCAAAGCACGAAACAATTCATTTTCCTATGGATCGATACTTAAGAGTCTCCGAGAATCCATCGGGCGTTTTCCGGATGCGAGCCAGCGGGTGTTGGCTACTCGAGATGCATTTCCACCTAAGTGTACCGTATATTCATAATGTAACGCGTTGTGCGGAGAGATACTAATGTTGCGAACGTGCTTGTACAAGAATGAGTTTTCTTTGCAGTAAAGCGAAATGATAAATTTCGTCGCAGTGGCCGAATAAAATTATATGTAAAGTATCCTTCTCCTTTTTATCTCTGTTTTAATCTGAATTTACTTAAATACTGTCTTTATTTTAGAGACTGGAGAGTCAAATTGCTAGATTATTTTTGATAATTTTTTACAACAAACTGAGTAAGTGTACGAAAGTGAAGTTTTAAGTTAGTTTATGCAACATACAAAAATAAAAAACATGTTTTTTATTGACAAATATATATTTATATATATACCTACTCTGTTTCTTTTGTTCGAGATCGTCACTTT